CCTCCTTCGCCCATGTCTGTGACTCTGGATAGATTTCACTTCCTAGCGAGAAATCCTACTTCATGCAATACTGGACAATTACGCTAAATTTGAGTCCACTTATGAATTTAGGAAAGTTGTAACAAAAAATACGAGTTGTAATAAATATGACAAAAAGCCATTTAGTATTCGAACAATGTATTTTCCTTACTAAATTCTAAAGCTACACATAATCCGTAACTTTCAGCTTCTTTCTGAATCATCTTCACTCAGATAGTTCTTTGTCCATTCATCTCCATACCGCGGCTTGTTCTCTTCAACCTGATGAAATATTCTTGCTTAGAAATTAACTTAATAAAAGAGACTGAGTCTAAGTATTCCTATCCCAATTATTCCTTCACTACTCATGGACACTGTCTGTTTTGCTTCTCAGCCTTCCCTTTCTCTCTCTCTTTTTCATCACCCTCATGGTGTGCTATTGAGAATATTTGTGAAGCACACGACCTTGTCCTGTACAGTCACTTATACCTCCTGAATTTATCTGGGATCATTATCGAAAAGCACAAACTAATACGTCCAAGTTGACGTCCTTGACTGACTGCTTCAGCCCTTATAGTCCACCAAATGCTTGTTGCACTGCGACCCCTACAGAACACGCCATTTCTAAAAACAAAATTTTTAATGATAATTTCAAGTCAATTTGTTGACCGATTTTGTCAATAATTTCATCAATCATAGTGGTGATTGGGGATTCGCCAGTGGAAAATGGGTAGTGTTGTTTTGGATGATTCCGAAATAGCGAAAGTTTGTAGCGTTAACGGATCCCAGCTGCTTGATTTCATTATAAATTGCAACTCAAAAATATATTATTTTATATAGTGTTAATTTCAATGGTTGGCTTCTGAGTTTTGATTTTAAGTGTCTGTTTGTCCAACAACTGCCTGATAGTTTAGTTATTATACTAGTGCAGTATGATAGTACCTAAATTTGGTGACTGTATTATCTGAAGTATGTTCAACGTGTCTTTAGGTAGCTAATATGATAGACCAATTCATTAACCCAAATATGAATAACAATGACGACTATGTTGCGTTTAGAGAAAAGGTTAAAGATTATCCAAATGACTTTTATATTCAAAAGGCATAGAGGTATAATGCAACGCACGTACAGGTCAGGCTAACATTCCGTTTGATGAGGAATATAACAATTTAGAAATAATAAACTTGGCTCAGGAAGATTTTTGAATTTAAGACGATTTGTGAGACTACAGTTAGGAATATAGACGTTTCATGAAAAATTATTGTAGTTAGCTTTTTGACATTTGTATATATGTGGTAAGTGCAATCGGAACTAAGACATGCTAAATAATGTTTGAACTTAATATCACTTTGTACTCGCTATCTATGAACAGCTGTAACTATTTTAAATTTCATTTATCATGAGGTTCGGAAGGCCATCCGACTATAAAATTAAAAACCTCATATGACGTTAGGTATTCAAGCATTGACTTTACTAATAAACCATTCAATACTAAAGTAATCTCCGGCCATTTCCGTTCATTAGTTATAAGCTGCTGGACAAAGTATCCTGGGCTCCTTGGTATCTACAGCCGAGCTGTTGGGAAACGTTCTCTGTTAGAGAGCTATTCAATTCTTGTTTCAATTCGTCGTAAACCTCCAATGATGTAACAGTCGTCAACGGTTAGGAAAAAGACTAAAAAGTTACAGAAGAAGTATTTATTTCTAATACCGTTGGGAGAATAATAACTGTATTGTCTTTTCACAAACGTGTCGCAATCATCATTTCTATGTTTACAGATTTTGAACTTCACTTTTAACATATTTCACCCACATAGGTCTTTCTATGATATTTTGCTTGTCTTATTTAGTGTTCAACTGTGGAGTGAGGTTTTTATAATTTCAATATAATGTTGGATCACATTTACAAGTATTTATGCAAAACAGTATGGTCATAATAGTAGTCCGTTAGTGTTTCAGATCCTATTTACTATAACGCAAGCTATGTCTCATTCCAACAGATCATCCATGTAGATTCCACATTAGCCAAGTCTATATTAGTTGTTAACCTTGAACTAGTGACCGGAAATCGACAAAACTCTTGATTTCAGAGTATATGATTAAATCCTTAACAGTGGATAGTTTGGGTAGCCGATCAATGCAGTTTTGGATAGTTTAAAAGTCATGCACCTTCACGGTTTGGAGTAAATTAGAACACTATTTCTTGACTAGGTAGGGCCAGTGATTACATACTACTAGTTTCTTTCTAACTATTCTTTCCAATGTTCTAATTAAGACACTAATAATGATGACAGGTCTGTAGTTCGACGGAAGTTGTCTCGATCCTGTCTTATATACGGGAGTGACGATTTCATCTCTCCAGTCCGTGAGTAATACACCTTGGTTAAGTGACACATTGAATATCACAATAGTGGGGCCTAGTAAACGTCGAATATTCCAGCCTATCCAAGGATGAACTGTCCAAGGTATATATGGTTGAATTACCCGTTTGTATAACTGCCGGAAATGTATCCATGCCTCTTCTACTGATGCCTCTGAGTCACATTCCCAATTTTCACCCGATGCCGCAGAGTTGATTGCCTTCATGTCTGCCTTCCATATTTTGAGTTGAGTAATTTAATATAGTGAAAATTGTAACTTCTGTAACAATTTGATCTTGCCTGTAAACTGGCATGTCTCATGGAACAAACGGTTGTTTGAAAATAAATTGTTATAATTACTTTCTGTGTGCAGGATGACCCCACTTTCTCTATGGTTTATTCTTTAAGCCCTTCTGTATGTGAAACCAATCAACCAAATTTAATTTTCAAACACTTCTGACGTTACCCATGTTTCCGAGACAACAATAACATCCGGTTTCTCTATATCTACCATTGTCTTGAGCTCTTTTATTTCACTTAGTAGGCTGCAAGCATCCGTGTAACACATCTTTAATTCTGTTGAGAACTTTCTTTTTCCACCCAGAGTGAATTGACGATGGTTTTTTCATAACCATCACATTCTGAAAACCCTTAAGGACGAGGTTTCTTTCACAGTTTCGGCGGCGTTTCGGTCGTCTCTTAATACGGTCGACCAGGCTGAGATCATTTAGGATGTATATTCCGGACCCAATCATTTTGTGTGAATTTTCCAGTATCAGGTTTCTTTATTCAACCATAGCAAAAGCAACCTTGAAGAAGCGGCTTTTCGCAGTACTTTCAGAACCCAAATTTTGTCCTATTGTATAAAGCCTACAGATTCAAACTCTTGAGACTGTTTTTAAAAGTAACTTTGAACCAAGGACTTAATGTGACTCAGATCGTTCTTGAATCTAGCCTTTGATTCTGTGGTGGACCAAAATGTTTGATAACCAAAAAATTTAGCAACAAAAATATTATGTCTATAGTTTATGTAACAATTAACAGATAATAAGTAATTACACACAAAAATAACAAAATAAGGGACGTTACTTAGGTCTTCAGGCTATTGCGTGTTCGGCTGGGTTTGGTCCAGATACTCCACAATTATAACAAAATTAATAATCCCAATATGGACGATATAGATCCAGTAGTTTTACCAAGCGTAGAATCCAATAAGAATGTCGCAATTGTCTATAAACGTAGATGGTATGCAATTAATATTTCATTCAACATATTAGCAGACAGGACAGAACGATGCAGATGTGAATTAGAGTGTATTTGTTGAGGAGAATTAACAGTGGCACGGTATGTTGTACTCAAAACGGAAGGAAGTCGAGTTACAAGCGTTCAAAAGTAATACACTTAAACAACAAGTACAATTGTTTAATGCTTAATGTACAGAATATGAAAATACATGCGAAAACTATGAAAAATTATTTACAAAATAGGTTTTAAGGTTCTATCTCCACAATTCCTTTCCGGAATAATCTCTTGACTTATAAAAAATGATTGGTCCATCTTAACATTCCGTGGAATTTCAATTCTTAAAATCTTCTCTTCCCTGCTATCCGTTTCCCATTTTACGTCAACAGCACAGGTCACATTCTATTTCTTTATTTTTCTTTTCCCGGGTGTGACTGTGACCATGCTTGTTATCTGCTTCCCTTCCACCTTTATGATCTCATTTAAACACAAAGCTGTGCTCATGGTAACGATCTCTATTTTCTTGAAAGCGGAGTTCTGCTTATCTACTGCTGCCTGTTTATCTGAGTTCAATTTTATATCTCCGTTTAGCAGCTCAGTCGCCTCCAGAATCGGTAGACTTTGTAGAACTACATGCTTTGCACAGCCAAAGTGATAATGGCTTGCAGAACCTCTAATATGTAACCGGCATGAGTCCGGTGCACACATTGTGATATCACTTACTGCGGTTATTACATTGCATCCCATAAACGACAGGGTAATACCATCTAGGTTTGCCACAACGATGTTTTACATGCGCCATAAATTTGTTCTGTGATCTTATAGCAAAATCTGATCTCTAGATAGAGTGTGGGTGATAGATACACAAACGAAAACAGAAGTTTGTATACCGGACAAAAAAGCAAAAAATATCCAACTTTGGTAGTTAAGAAAGAGCTTGACACCTTTGGATACAAAAATAATCATAAATACACTAAACGAGGAAAAGTACATATCATTCTCCCTAGCTTCTTGCATCTGTTTTCGAAAATTACAGATGATAAACCTCTCTAGAAAAAACGGCAATTTTGGTCATTACATTGACTGAAATAAATTTAATTAAAGCAATAACAGTATTCTTAATGCGTGATTAAGTGGTCAACACCATAAAATATACTCAGAGGAATAATACCACTGTCCTGTTTAAATAGTACACCAGCATGAAGAGTATAGCATTAACTGCTGCATATCAGCTCACTGAAACATTAAATAGCGAGAAAAAAACAGAACGAAGAAAGAAGACTGCCATCGCTTGCAGAGATACAATAATTTCCGCTTCATTCTGATTGATCACTAAGTGGACTGCCACAAATACGAAATCGAGTTGAGTTTAACTGTGTTCAGCGGTTCAGTTTTGGTGGCGTTTCAAACTTCTGTACAAATAACGAGTCACGTTTGGAAGCTTGGGCGAGTCTTGTTTTAAAAGTTTTTTATGCACCTTAAACTAAATTCGGTCAATAAGATCGTTGAAGCTATTTGTCACATTAAATCAAAAGTTTGTTCGTTCTCTTTCATATACGTCTTCCCTTGTATCTAATGGTACACGTTTACATGAAATAATATTAACCGCTTTACTGCATAGTAAAAAACATATTCCTGAATGCTTAAAATATTTCAGGTATCCAATCGCAGACTTAAATGTTGTGTACTGTATGAATTTAGAGTGACAAATTTTCTGTCGAATGCAATCGTACAATTAATAATAAAAACCCTTGCGTTTAATTATAAGTCACAGAATATGCGAGATAAATAATGTCGTGTTATTAAACATGTAGTCATGGTCTTGAATATCGCAATTCGTTTGTATTTTTGAAGTTGTAGTATAAGTTAGTGTTCATTTCTGTTCAATTCCGGATGATCACATTATGTTTGATGGCTTCCAAATTTTTATAGCACCAACCTCAAAGTTATCAAATGATAATAGTATGTATTAAGAAGCAATAAGGTACTTAACTTCCATCCAGTCTATAAAGTTTCTTTCTATAAGGTATTTTCACAGAGACTAAAATACTCCATAGTTATTATAAACACCGAAGTATCTTGTAGCGTCGACTAAGGAGTATATGTTGTGACAAATATTGATTAATTTCACATATATTATCTGACGAAACCCTGCATATAAATCAAGATTCAAAGCATTAAGAAAACTTGAGTTCTGTATTAGTCGAAGTACGGGCAAACGTTTCATATATATTGGGCGAAACCAGTTATTGCACTACCTTAAGTAGAATTTCCTGTTGTCACACCTCTTGTTTTTGTGTGTAACCCAAATGTATTGCGTCATTCGCTTTTGGTTGAGAAACTATTGGCTTGAATTTGGAGTCAGTCAGTCAGCTACAACGTAAGACAATAGTGTCGGTTCAAGTTAAAGGTGAAAGTATTCTTTACCTTCAAAGTCATAATACTTCCATATTTTGTGAAAATAATAGTTCATCACTCTCGTCACAAAACCAGTCGTAGATAATATTGTGGGCAGATCAAATATAAAGCCACACTAAAGTCATTCTTTCTAGCACTTCTTGATACTTCGTTGACTGATTTCATGAAATTCACTTTGTCAGTTTCACTGTGATCATTACCCCTCTTTTTTTTACAGAAACTATTGTTTTGGGACAAGCAGTTTTTTATTGACAGTTTTGTCTGATTATGCTTTGAACAAAAAATATCATTTTTTGTTTCTTAATAAACCTGTAGATATGTCTACAAACATAACACATCAGCCCTCACATATTACTCATGATCAGCGTTCAGTTAGTAACAAGTCTTGGTTCCACGGTTGTACGGTGTGGTTTACAGGTAGCTTCTGTTGAATAGACTTCTAAATAACTATCTTTGGTTAATCTGTATTTCTATATTTTAATGATATTGTTTATTATTGAAAACTGTCTAACGAATCGTTATATAGCTGTTCACACATCAATCGTATCATAAATTCATTGTCGTATGACCTCGGACATATGCACATTAACTACACATGGAGTTGCCGACTACTTACAAAAATGATGTGAGATAAATTTACAACTAGTAGTTTCCTGTACATCATACATAATTTCTGAGTTGAATAATTCATTGATAACGTTCATAATAGCAGAGCTAGATGATGTGGATCTTAATATTTGATTATTCGTCTTCTTATGGTTTGAGTTCAATTTTATTTTCAGGGTCCGATATTTTTTCTCACAAAGCTATTAACCCTTATTAGAACTTCAATAGAATGATTCGAACTACTTCCTATCCTCTTCTTCCTTATTCGTTGTACTGAGATAATGCGTGATTAGAGAAGCTTGTTACTTTTTGGTGGTATTTTGTTCTCTAGACTGGATTGTTTAATTATAAAGCTTTCATTGTTCTCCAGAACATCAGCACAAACCTCAGGTAGAAGTTACTGAAATTCTAGGATACTGAGTGATAGGTTCAAATATGGGACTAACTTTCAAAGGTTCTTTGATTACTACAAATATTTAGTGTATTTAGGTGTTGCATGTTTTGAAGTTGTTAAAGGCTCATTATCCTAACCACTAGGTCACAGAAAACTAAACTAAGTGAACCACGTTACTACGAATTTTATTTTGTCATTTCATTTAAACGACTGTCATGTACTCCAATATTATCAAACTATTACTGCCAAATTCTTCCTTGCCCAAAGTTTTCACTGCTTATCTCAACATTTTTCTATAGGTCTCAGTGGAGCTGGCAAAACGACTTTGGCATTTGCTCTAGAACGTCATCTAGTTAATCGAGGCATATCAGCTTATGTTTTAGACGGAGATAATATTCGCTCTGGTTTAAATAAAAATTTAGGATTCAGTGATGAAGACCGTGTGGAAAATATCCGACGTGTCAGTGAAGTAGCTAGGTTATTTGCTGATGCAAATAATATTTGTTTAACTAGCTTCATTAGCCCGTTTGAAAGTGTAAGTCTAGTTTTTCCATTCCTTAGGGTGTCTGATTATTTATTTGTTTTTTCACTACTCGTTGTTATAACTGTTTTATGTATAATTTCTCCTTATTACGGTCCAGCTATTCCTATTGTTTAGTATTCTTGGACATTAATACACTCGACAAGTCCCAAATCAGAACACGGTTGAACAGGGGAAGAAATTATATTCCGAATAACAAGGATAGATGGAAGTAAGAAGCGCAATAAGGAATACGTTAGTGTATTTATAGTTTTTAAATGAGTAGATTCTAGAGTCTTCTCCAAGCATCGACTAGCGCTGATTGAGTAAGAATTGGCCAATCAACGTGCAGCAACACAATCGTGTGTGGAACATGCTTTAATCCAATCTATGTCCCGCTAACGCTCGTACTGTCTCATAATTTAAGATTTAAAATGAAATAAAAAGTAGATTTATTTGCATCGTTTCTGTTTACATATCGGGCACAGTTTCCGTCCAGTAATATCAACTATTTGATAGCCTACTGTCTATTCTTTATGTAATGATTAACTTCACCAGCTAAGTATTCGACGTAATTAGCCTTCGACTTTTATGGACCGATGAAGGAGGGATACTAGCAGAAGAATCAACGATATGGATATTTCATAAATAAACAGGGAACAAAATATTATGCCCATAAGAAGATTAGGAGCAAATACATCTGTGACATTATAATCAATATTTACTTTTGTCGTATAATATTCTTGACTGCTACTTCTTAATGTCTCGAAAATTTATAAATCCCTTTTGGGTTCAAGTCAGAATATAATACTTCGTGAATTCACTTCGCATCCTGACAGATCACCATTAAAGAATATTGAATCTTTTTCCTTTCCAATCAACTCATCCATATGGATATTGAGCGAGTATCATCACGATATGTATTCTTATCTCCTTGGAGTATGAATGAATACTTAAGTATGTGAAAGAGACTGTATGGATACTAGATTTAATAAACTATGAATAATTAATGTAATAAGACCACCAGTGGATCGAAATAATTATTTTTACTGATCTGACTGTATTTTGCAAAATGTTGCGTCTTTTTCAATTATTTTTGTCTAAATTGTAATTATGCTGCTAGAAGTGAACTTTACTGTAAAATATCAGATGTCTTTTAAATTAGAATTTTGTTCGTTTTATAGATCACTAAGATTGTAAAATGAACGTATTTTGTTCTTTAGTGTGCTTTATAAATGACTAACTGAATGATTTCAGTTTGAACGTCATCTTAAAATAGCAATGTTTTGTTTAGTCTGAGGTAACTGTAATCTTATAATGACCTTATTTATCTATGAATTGTTTCCTCAAACATGCAGTTTAATAATATGGGTTTTCAAGCTTATATTCCACGTTTGCCTAACTCATATGATCAAGTGTTATGAGATACCTCAATGACAGAGTCTTTCAATATGATATGCTGGATTTTATTTTATAAACATTTGGACTATAGACACTAGACTCATTGCTTCAGAAGCCACCTTTAAATTATCTATAATAATTTAACACGATTAAAAAGTACCTTATATAAAAGTACTCAGGTTTTAGTCTCATGCTGCAGTGTCATGTGAGGAAAATCCACGGAAGGAGAAGGATTTGGGTGGTTAAGAATCCGGCGAATAAGGAGTAATTGGGTGTTTAGGTTTAAGAGGAAAATATCTGCCTCTTCTTCGATCTACATAAGTTTGAGTTTTCACGTTGATGATTGATTAGCTTTGAATCCGGAGCTATTGATTCCTCATGCTATTTGAAGAATCCCCATCCAATTAGCCTACACAGCACGAACGAGTGGTCAGGAACTTTGTGAACTGATATTTTATTTCTTTCAAATCATATTTAAATTGTTCTCAACGTAGTTTTATCACACAGATAATTTGCGACTCATCGTCTCACATTCAACAAACGCAAAAGGCATGCTTAATGCAAGTCTGAAATTTTCAATCAAGTTCTTCGAAAAGAAAACCCGAAATTGTTGCGATTATTCCATTCAGTAAGCTTATGTAGTCCATTTGCTTAAGCTTATTCAGAAAATCAGGTAAAGAACAATTTTTAAGCGATTGAAGGTAAACAGACCCCACATAATGAATAATAATAGTAGATATCTCTCATGGATACTATTAATTATTATCGTTACCCTAGATAACCTTCACCTATCTACTATACGTTTGTATAGGTTAGGATGAATTAGCCTAAATAATGTAAACTACTCAGTTTTAGCATTTCATACTGTCAGTATATTGTTACTAAGGTTTTCTCAGGGGTTTATTTAACAAAATGTAATAACAGACATGAATAGTTTGTCACATTCATCATAATTGAAATTCTCTTCATACAATGGCCTTAACATTCTCTTATTTATTCTGATAATTGACAGTCATCACGAAATTGATTTAAACCGTTCATATCAACACTCATTTAGCATTGGTTAACGAAATCACTTACTAATTTTAATCGAAATGATATTCTTTATGAAGTGTAGGATCTTTATTCCCATATTTTGTCAAGTATTTACTCATGAAAACTTCTTAAGCAATCTTGTTTAAAACGAGTAATTGATATCACAAATTCTCAAAAAAACATTCCTTATAAAGATTGTCTCATATTAGCAAGTAGAATTTTTATTCATTTATTTAAACACATAAATATTGGTGCAAGGGGGCACCAGATATATATGCGCCACACAAAACAATGAAAATGGGAAGAGAAGGGGTGAGATACATAAAAAAAGTAGTGGTGGGGGGACCTGAAATGTACAACCAGAAGAGCTCTCTCAGTTAAGGAGGTTATAACTACTCTTTATGCAGAAAGTAAAAGAGGGTTACAACAGGATCGCCATTGGCTTCTATTCTGAGCCATATCTGATGACGTCTCTAGCCACTGTGTAGCACCATCTCTTGGACCCCAGCCAGGGAGTCGTGAAGGACCAACAGAAGCCAATCCTTTTCAGCTTTCTTTTATACCGTCTATATTTTAAATAAGGGGATGAAGTGTTTATTCCTATTCTTCATAAATAAAAATGAACTTGGGATTACTACTAACCTTTTGAATGTTGGTGAATTTATTTGGAGTGATTCCTAATAAGTGAAGTTGATGAACATATGATTTTCGTGGAACAGTTGGTTGATTGATTAGTGGTTTAACTATTCGATTTTTGGCCAGAAGGGATTTTGTGGAGATTTCATTATTATCATAGTTGAAATTATGAGTCAATTTAAGCTAGACCACCATGGAAAACTTGGAAGCACTGGACGGCCGTTTCGTCCTATTGTGGGATATTGTGAGATATCAAATCACTGAAGACAATTGGTGAACAGTTGCTCAATTTCGTGGATTCGTCGAAGTTAGACATAAACACCGTTGGGTGCCGCCTCAGTAGACTAGATGTTGAGCGCTCGCGCACGAGAATGATAGGTTCCGGGTTCGAATCTCGCGAGGTGAGGTCGTGGATGCGCACTGCTGAGGAGTTCCAAAATAAGACGAAACGGTCGTCCAGTGCTTCCAGGCTTTCCATGGTGGTCTAGCTTCAATCGACTCATGATTTCAACTATGAAAATATTCGATTTTTAACTAGTAGGTTTTGGATTCCAACCGCACTCACGTACTTCATTTTGAATAACCCTAATAGTAGTTAACTTTTAACTGAAAGCCGAAGACATCAATACGAAATAGGTAGGTGGGTAAATTAATTAAAAGTATTCAATCAATTAATAGATGGTCTTAATGAATTCTACACCATTTTATTTCATTCTTACACTTAAACTACTTTATTCATTGTTTACAGGATAGAAATGCAGCTCGCATGTTACACTCTCAAAACAATCTACCATTCTTTGAAGTTTTTCTAGCTACTCCAATTGAAGTATGTGAACGACGTGATGTAAAAGGGTTATATAAACGTGCACGTGCTGGTGAAATAAAAAATTTTACTGGTATCTCTGCAATTTATGAAAATCCAACAAATCCTGATTTGATTTTAAATACTGAATTATATTCTGTTCAAGAGTGTGTAACTCAATGCGTACAAATGTTAGCGAAAGCTGTAAGTGATATTTAGATTTTCTGTAAAGAAACTATAAGATTGTATCTTATTATATTAGATTGATTGTATTTCTATTTGACGATGCTTTTCGTGAAGTCTAAACGATTAGCATAGTCATAACGATTAGCAGAACAATTGCTGTTTTCAGTTCCGTTGTAGACCATCTTCTCTAATGGCTTATGCTAATTTTTTTCACTTATGATGTATGCAAGATATCCGGCTACCAAACAGAGGATGAGCATACTGTGTAGCAGTTTGCTCTTTTCTATTCTGTGACTCTAAAATGTAACCTTTAAAAATAAGGGATATTCTTGAGTTTCTATTGTTTGATCATAAATTCTTTCAGATCATTATTTATGCGTGTTTGGACCACTTAGGAATCCTGAGGTTAGGCACAGAATAATAGGTAAAGATGGCAAACCGGTTAATGAGGTAATGAACCTTCACTAAGTGAGTTGGTTGAGAAATGTGCTGCGTTTGCCTAACCCGTTGCCTATTTCAATGCGTAATGTTCATTAATGTAAACATAAGTTGGAACAAAGTTAAACCCGGCCAAACCAAAATGTGACACCAGTCCATCAAACCACTGACTATTGGTCTGGTGAAAAGTTGACTGATCCACATTACATAGCTGGATCCTACGCAATTATCGTATCCAATGGTTGGAGACGTTATGTGACATCCTTAAGGATCATTCGCAGTGGCACAGATACACTGATTTTTTTGTCTTCCCTGAGTTATTAAGTTTTCAAACTACCTTGTATTATTCTACCCCATGAATTCACTTTCACTGGAATTTTATCTGCGTTATTTTTCGTTGTTGTTACGACAACTGATGTCATTACCACGTCTGCTACGCTAGCACTTTACTGTCCTAATGTGATATGGCAACTTGAATCGATTTACATATGTTTCAGGTTGTTCGTTGATCATAACTAACTAGCTTTCTTCACAATACTCATCATTCACCTTTAAGTTTATTGTGCATTTGTCGGTGTTTTTATAATGCAATAATCGTTTAGAATGCCTTGAATTAACTATAAACTTGTAACATTCATCATAATGCATAATAACCATACCATTTATCTGCTGAGACTAAATTGAACCATACATGTACATACCTGTAACTTATTGGTCATAGCTAAATATAATCTAAATTTTCTGCATAAAAGTTAATATTTTCTATTTGTTTTCTTTTTCAAAATTAAAATCTAAATAAGAGTAATACTAGAACAATATATGACTTTGATATTATTATTATTATCTTTAGTATTTTATAGTTCAATTCTGTTTTTACAAGTTTCAATGCATCGTTTTTAATCTTGTCACAACTAAGATATATATATATATATATACCAATATATTGATACCTAGAATTCATAAAAGCCATAAATTGTAGTTAATTGTTATGAAATTCCGATTGTTTACTGTTTTAATATCAATTGTGTTTAGTGTATTACACATAGGTTACACATAGTTTTCTCCGAAAAATATTTCTTCCAAAAAAAGAAAACTTAGTGATCTACAATAATGAATGACAGTAGTAATAATGATAATATTAAATTATCTTTAACTAAAAATAATGTTTTTGTTTTGTTTAATACTAATTTAAAATCTTTTCTTATCATAGTGCCGTTTTCTAATTATCACTAATGATTATATATGGTTAACAATAATATATTTGGTCGTGTTATCATGAAATATTATGCTAGGTTGCTTAGTGTTTGAAACATCCATGTTTTAACTAGTAAGTCCTAAGTTTCAAACTCCACTTTACTCAGTTTACTTTGAGCAGCTGTATAGTATGTGTAGGGACGGCCCCAAGTGTATTCAAGGAAGCTCGAAGAAGTTCAGAAAGAAACGAAGGTATTCCATTTACTCATCTTTTGAAGAACATCACAGAATCTCGACGTGTAGCTTTTCGACTGGATAAGTGCTATAAGTCACTGTATGAGGATTGGATGACTGTAATAATGATTTCGTTTTTACTAAAAACTATAAATACCTGAGTATTTTGAACTATATTTGACACTTGTCTTCTGTCTTCGAACTTGTGACTTGAGGGGTTCTAGCGTTCGGAAGGTCTAGTTGTACTTGGTATAGTAAGAATACAAGTTCTAGATATAACAGTATGATTAGTTGTTTTACAAAAATATTGTTTAAAACTTTGTAATAAGAATTTATGAGTTGACTTGTTTCGATTATTAACACTTTGGATGCACTAAACTGCTAAGTCCTAGTTTCCCACCCCTTTTTTAAAATAAATCCTGCGGAAGATAAATATTTCTAAAAGAAGCTCAATGATTCATTGTTAGCCTAGTAAGTGTTATCAGAGTTTACAAAGTTAGTTGAAATACGACTTTGTGAATCTCCATCGACTGAGGTGGTTAAGATATGCGTTACACATATTTCATCATCGTCTACTTCAAAGATTCAATTTAGTTTGTGTAAGTGTGGGTTATGAAAAAAGTAGGGTCGGTCAAACTAAAACCTGGCTTCAATCTATAAAGCCATTGACTCTTGGTCTTAGCTATGTTGATTGATACAAACTACCTGGTTGAGGTTCATAGGATAGTCATGGTCAGCTATTGGAGAGGTTGAATAACATGTACCAGAATCGTTTACAATGTGGAATTTGTATTCACTCTATGTTTCCCTCTCGATCTTAAATTCAAGTATTCCCGCATACATACTTTCCCAGTCTATTTTTTCAAATTTAAGACAAATTCTCAGGATTTAATCTTTCTATAATTGTTACCACATTATTTCAACTCGTTTACTACTCTTTATGTTAATTTCATCCCACTGTGCTGATACTGTGGTATGGAAACTTCAGCCAATGCACATTTGTAAAGGTGTAACTTAGTGATTAGTGTATTCAGCTTTCAGACACCAAGTACACGGTTTGAATCCTTCTCCACCTACGTTGGTTTAAATAACCGGGTAGCATCATTTACCCTACACTTAGAGTGAGGCTCATACTTGAGTACGTTGTAAATAAATAAATAAATTATATATATATATATATCGATTAAAAATGAATAAATAACCTGGAAGTTTCAGTATACTCAACAACAAAATCGACATGTGGGTTAACTGTTTTGAAGAGTTTTAGCTAATATGAGTTAGCTCTCCTAGATACATATCAAACGTTACTTATAAAAACTAGTACTAAACAAGTTTTGAGTTTTTAAGACCACCCTAAATTACTTAATTTTTCAGATGAACATGTAACTGCCTAGGAATTCGGGTCGGTATTTCTTACTGACCGAAACTACTATTTGAATAGACATTCGTTTAATGGTCTTTTACATTGTCACATCTTAATGAAATTGGAAAATAGCCTCAATTGATCTTTTGTTTATTAGCGTTAGAAAATACTGACTTTGTATCTTAAGACCAGTAACTTATAAATATTACACAGTAGGTGTTAAAATTATTAAACTTTAGGAAGTTGTTGAACGGTCGGAAATACTGTTCAGTTTTGTTGGATTGTAACAGATTTTTTGTCCAATATCAATCTCTTAAAACAATACTGACCTATCTATATAACCACATCAAAAAGTAAATGTTCATCAGAGTTAGAATCTATGCAGTAATGTGACGACGTAAGTTCGAACCCCACTGGAAGCATCATTAGTGCCCTCAAGATTCTAAGTACGTCTTACTGTCAAGCGCTAATTACGCGTAACGTAAGTCTAAGGTTTCCTGCCGGCTACTTTCAGCTAACTAGCATTCAAATTTGTCTTATGTAATTCGATTCAGTTTTTTACGTACTTTGTTTTAGGGACTAGTGCCTAACTATGATGAAGTAAATCCATTTGGTGGTCCTATGCCCAAAGAATTATATGTGACTGATCCTGTAGAAGTTCAAAAATTAAAGGCAGAATGTTTTAATTTACCTCATTTGGATATTGCAGAATTGGATCTTCAGTGGATACAAACACTAGCTGAAGGTTGGGCTACACCATTAAATGGTTTTATGCGTGAAAATGAATATTTACAAGTTCTATATTTCGGTCAATTACAATTGTCAAACAGTAAGTTTTTTTATCAATTATTTAATTTTGTTTAGTTGAATGTATCACAAGGATGATCTGATAGTTGAAAAGTAGCAGAGCAGTACTCATTTCGTGAATTCTAATACTACTATCTTCTATTTCTTTCTTACTAAAATGTTATTGTTTTGGAATTTCTAGAACTTTGGAAATAGTTAATATCGATTATATAATCTTTATGCTGCGCTTCTGTTAACATTAGAGAGGAATTATTTCAAGACTATGTAACAGTATCATAATCTGCACTGTATCATTAGTCATTAAATCATTTTTATGGTAAAGTATAAATCAGCGCTTTCTAATCTTAAAGTTGTTTGTATTTTGACTATTTTCCCTGTTTTGAACACTTTAAAGAAATGAAGACTATAAAAGCATCATACCAGGCGTTCTTAACATTCTTAAACTTAAAACAGAATCACACTATTGTACATGAAAGTGGATTTTGGGAAATCACGTAATAATTAGGTACAAATAATTCCTCAAATGTTTTTAGCTAAGGCTAAAAACGTTACTGTATTATTTTATGGTATCCACCACAGTTTTGTTCTCATCAATTACAGCTTCATATAATTGGCTTTGAGCTGCATCTTATTTATTAGGGCTAGTAGTATTGTTCGGCTCCCCAAACCCAAGTAAGTGGAACGAGACTCGAATTAACAAGTCGAAACCTCAATTTTAAACTATCTCTCCACCGACATTATAAGCAAAGATGGATGGTGGCTAGCATTGGGACCAGAACGCGCGTCTCGTTCTATTTGGGACTCGTCAGCTGGATGTACTTGCATCCCGGAGTTGATGTTCACCCCAGAACTCGGACCCAGTGTCGTTCGCTTCAAGCAGGACTCAATAGCTAAGTGAATAACGTAATGACGTTTGAAGCGAACGGGTCAGAGTGAACATCAACTCTGGGATACAGGCACATCCAACCGCCGAGTCCCAAATAGGACGAAACACGCGTCCCGGATTCCACTTCTAACCACCATTTATCTTCGCTTACAAAGCTTTTTGCTCAAGGTAATATGGAGGCAATCCGCATAGGATGCACGTATGCCAATAAGAGACTGATCAATTGCAGTCCTACACATCATTAGAAAGGTTCAAACAAACGATACAAAAATGATTTATCTCTCCACCGGTTATCAATGGTTTTGGAGTGGATTGATCATCGTCGTTATATGGCTATTATCATTCCAAACTGATTATGCTAAGTAGTCAGTCAATTAAAGAAACATTGAACCTGGGTTTTAGGTTGACTAAGTAGTCAGTCAATTAAAGAAACATTGAACCTGGGTCCTAGGTGTATCGATTCAAGTTTTCATACCATATCAACTCAACAACACTAAATTACCAAGATCTCCATCGACTGAGATGGTTGGGCCATGTGTTACGTATGCCTGAACACCGATTACCACGACGCGCTATGATGACTAGTATTGGGGACGGTTGGAAGAGAGTTAGGGGCGGCCAAACCAAAACATGGCATCAGTGTTTGAAGTCACTAACTTCTAGCCTGAGTCATGTTGGCAGATGCAGACTACCTGGTTGGGGTCCGCGTGACTATCGTAATCAATGGTTGGAGACTCTAGGTGACATGGCTCAGAATCGATCACAATGGCGTAGGTGTATACACTCTTTATCTTCCCTTAAACCTTGAGATTAAAATTGCTTCATATCTCTCTTCCTTCCTGTACTATATCTTTCTATACAATCTTTCTTTATATACTACCACCACTAAATTAATTGCTTCTATGAATCCGGTGTTCATCTTGTTGTGCTAAAGAGGTATGGCATCTTGGACCGATGCATATATGTGCCTGGTCCTACGTTGTAGCTGACTGACTGACTGAATTACCAAGATAAATGGTAGAGTAGTAGTAGCAATATCAGTAATAGTAGAACAGATTAAGCACGTAGTATGGTTCAAGGAAAACGAATAAATTCACAGAATGGAAAAGTTTAAGATAATTTAAAAGAAAAATCATAGTTTAAGGGAGGACAAAAGTCTAGCAGTCATTACTTTCTTCGACTGATGGAACCATATCTTGGTTCCTCAGACCATAACCTTCTGACCTATTCCTACACCAACCAATAGTTTTCATCTAGGTAGGCGATGGTTGAGCCATGCGTAATACATGTTTCAACCATATCAATCCACGAAAATATGTAATCGCTGGTATTATATCAATCCCACATAGGTTATTCTAGATTATAGAAAGACCAATTTATTCATTCTTCTCATGCCACATTTGGACCTTTTCACTTACTCGCTTATTAACATTGACTTTTTATATGATCGTATGTGTGTTAATTGCTCTTCATACTCGTTACGTGTCTGTAATTTGTTTTTTGTCTGACTATGAATATTGAGTCACGCTTAATCAATATGGGTTGACTCACTCGCTCTCTCTGCTTCGCTTCTCCTTCTCCTCTTCTCTTTCTCCACTTCGTTTCTCTGATTGTCTGTCTAGATCAATGAATGTACGAAATATGCGTATTCAAAATTCATTCTCGTATATGGCTTATTTTATTCCGTTACTCTAACTCGAATCAAGTCGATAATTATATACCAGGGTGGACAACATGTATATTTCGATAGCAATCAGTGTACGATCTAACTGGAGTCAGATATAAGGCCACTAAAGATTCACTAGTCAATATATATATATATATATATATATATATATATATATATAATGCTTTTTTGACAATGCTTTAAACAGAGTTATGTATAATAGTATTCCTTATTTTATATTGGTTTTTTTGTTATTGCAGGTTCTGTGATTACAAATTTCTCAATTCCAATTGTATTAGCTGTATCAAATGAGGATAAAGAAAGATTTAATGGGAATGGTTCATCGATAGCTCTCGTATATAAAAATAATATAATTGGAATGTTACGAAATTGTGAATTTTTCCCTCATCGTAAAGTAGGTGCAACTTGTTTATCTTTGGTATATTCAGATTCTTATGGAAAAACATAGTTTACAGCTATTTTCTTTTTCATAGTTGAAATCATAAGTCAATTGAAGCTAGACCACCATGGGAAACCTGGAAGCACTGGACATCCGTTTCGTCCTATTGTGGGACTCCTCCTTAGCAGTGCGCATCTACGATCCCGCACTCGCGAGATTCGAACCCAGGACCTACCATTTTCGCGTCAGAGCACTTAACCGATCAATATCAGAGATTTGTAGAGATTATCAAATTTTGTGGTTAATATCGAGAACCGATTTTGGTTGGACAATCGCTGAAAATCAGAAAGCTCTGGTTACATTTTGAGACTTCTTAATGTCGATGCACATCCATTACCCCACTGACTGTCTTGTGATGAGAGCTTAACCTTTCCACTACTTAGCTGGTATTCAGTGATTTACATATCTTTTGTTTTTATTCATAAAGATCATCCTAACTTGTTAATTGAAATCAGCATGCTTATGATTTGTCTTACATTATTTTGAAAATTATTACTGATAGTCAAAGACTGTGAAATGTGGAAAGAGACTTAATTGTTAATATGATTATTAAGATCAATATTTTGTGTTGAATTTGTTAGTTTTAGTTGCCTGATATTTAGTCATGGAACACTCAGTAATTCATACAGTTACCCTCTTTACATCTACTTAACCTTTTAATTCCATTTCAACTGAATGTTTCAATTCTTCAAATAAACAATTTCCTAAATTTTAATAAGTAATTTCTTTGTTTTCTCGGTAAAGATTATTTAACTATTGATTCTCGAATTATTTATGAATGATAATCTTGAAACATTTTGTTTGTCTATAATTTAATTCACTCTAGACGGGTTTAATTCTAGTTAACATTGTTCGAAATCAGTATTATCATGCAAATTAGACTACCATATAACCTTTAGACTATTCTTAGAAGATTAAAGGTAGCCGGAAAGAAAATTCTAAACTTAGGTTTCCTAACAATTGATAATCATCTGCAAAGTATATCTGCAATCGTGCAAGCAAACACTGGTGCTTTCTTGACAAACAATACTGGTTTTTCTTTAGTTCACAAATCGAATAATTTGTGTGGTGCATATCTATTTGGTGACTACTTGCACTAATGTTTATGTGTTTAAATATATAATAAATTAGTTCATGACAGCGATCTATACTACATGTTACATTTGATAGATGCTTACTTTAAATTGTTTATAGCTTGGGTCATTTTTTTCTTTTTAATCTTAACTAATTTCTTTCTATTTCATAATTGTAAAATATATAGGAGGAACGATGTTGTCACATATTCGGAACTAATCATATAAATCATCCAAGCATAGAAATGATTATGTCATCTGGTGATTGGTTAGTTGGTGGTGATTTAAAAGTATTCGAAAGAATCAAATGGAATGATGGTCTAGATCGGTATCGTTTAACGCCAAAAGAATTACATTGTGAATTATTAAAAATGAAGGTAGACATTAATGATTTATTTTTTTAGAATGCTGCCTACCTACTTTTCATCTAAGCACATGATACGCTCTGATGTAATTATTGCATGGTAGACAAAGTGGTTTTGTAGCTTTCAGAAGCTGTAATATTCAATAGTGAATGATTTTGGGAAATTTAGTTAAAGACAAAAGAGTGTACAGTTTTTTTTAAACATATAAGTTGCTAGCGTTTCGTGAAATGACCAAGTGAGCAATGTTAAAGTCAAGCGTAGGTTTGTTTGTTTAAGATGATACTATCCTCAGTTGATTGTGATGGACAAAATAATCTAGTCCAGTCGTTTAGGGTACAGTTCCTAATATTAATGTCTCAGTCGTCAAATGTTTAGTCTATTCTCTGAAATTCATAGACTCAATTCACATGCCCGTCCTTTATTTCCGAGTTATAAACATGCTTCTCCTAACCTTGCTCCACTGCCTTTTGGATTAGACCTCTAGGTCAAAGGTTCAGGGAGTGGTCCCCTAAGAAAACCACCCGCTTCCATTTGGGCACCTGGGCAGTATTTCAGCCTTCACACAAATCGAATGAAGAAATGTGGCTCATATATATTTGGTGCCTCCTTGTACTAATGTTTATGTTTTTAAATAAATATCTATGTTGTGTGAAAATAAGCTTAAAAACTGAGTAATAATTCACACCATCTATGGTGATTCGGTACAGAGTCTTTAGATTGACCACTGAGTTACCGTAATCTACGTATTAATCAAGTACCGGTTCGTACACTTATTTAAAAGTCACAATTATTGTCTATGAAAGTCAGTAGTACTTAATGGAGATGTTCATATTTAAATGTGAAATTTAACTTAAGGATGGCTGTCTTATTTCCCGTATATTACAATAGAATGCGATCTTAATCAGAAATTAAATGTTTCCTAACTGACCTGTTGATTATGTTTGCCTTTTCCAGACTTTTACTGTTTATTTATTTATATATTTTTAAATTAATTAGGCTGACAGTGTCTTTGCCTTTCAATTGAGAAATCCTATACATAACGGTCATGCATTATTAATGACTGAAACTAGACAACAATTATTAGAAAAACATGGATATAATAATCCTGTGTTATTACTTCATCCACTTGGAGGTTGGACAAAGTCAGATGATGTTCCACTCAATGTACGTATAGCTCAACATGAAGCTTGTTTAGATGAAGGTGTACTTGATCGTGATACAACTTTATTGGCAATATTTCCTTCACCAATGTTATACGCTGGACCGCGTGAAGTTCAATGGCATGCTCGTACGCGAATGTTAGCCGGTGCTCAGTATTATATAGTTGGACGAGATCCAGCAGGTTTACCTCATCCTAATGGAACAGGTGTTGATTTATATGATCCATCTCATGGTGCTAAGGTATGTTGCATATGTGTTGTTTCACATTATCAACATTTTTTATTGTATTATAAAATCCCCAATGAAATCTAATTAAGTCTTGTCATTTATATCACAAATCAACAAATATTGAAAATCAGAGGACACTGGACAGCCGTTTCGTTCCAGTATGGGACTCCTCAACAGTGTGTGTCCACAAACCCATCTGAGATCGAAGTCATGAACTTCAGTTTTCACAGCAAGAGTTTAACCTTTAGACTTCCAAACTGGCACTCAATGGTTTACGTGTTTGAGTTTGATCGGTGTGCGATATTGCGGAAAACCAACTGTCTAGTACTTCTTGATTTTTAATGTTTGTCTAACTGTGGTCAGTTAATGATCTTAGTAACGTTAAGTAATTTTCCAAAACCTGTGAAAGCGACAATAGTCTGCGGTAATTATACATGAATGAACTTTATTAAATGTTAATCAATGGTATAGTAAATTGTTTATTTTTCTTTTTTAAGTAATTCTGAAGATTGTGAATGAATCTTTTCCTCCGTTGGCATCAATACTACTATCGTTTTATTTAGTTTCATCTCAATTATTGGTCTGTGTTATTTTAAAGAGTCAACTTGTAGAACGAAGCTTCTTTTACCTGGCTTTGTTCAACAGTAAATGAATTTATGAACTGATTACATTCTTCTGATCTAATTAATGCTAGTAATCTATTCATCTAATCTATGTTTCATCCCTTGTTGTTATAAATCAGTGATGATATTGCCGATGAAATACTTCTGTTTGATGAAAACTCTAACAAGATGCAGAATTTTTCGATTGCCTTATACAACCATACAAATATGTTTGGGTTGTATCCGCCTCTTCTAAGTACTAACTGGTCTGCGTCAACACATCAACTAATAATAGGAAGTGAAGTGGTTGTGCTTATCGTTCACTCCACTTATCTCAAAATTCTGATAAACTCTGATGGGTTGGTGTCTGACGAAATATCTGTAAAGGTTTGGGAAACTCGCCTTACTTGTGAACGAGATGTCCTTCCGATGAAAGGACGAATATACTGAACAACGTTTCTCGCTGTTCCATTTGGAAGGTGTGAAACATGATCACTAATAATAAAGTATATTCGTTGGCTGCTAGTATTCGATCATGGGTGTTTTCGAAGCATCAGAGGTGTATTTTGGGACCACCGAGCGAGCTATGCTGAGGTAAGGCATATGGTGCTTGACAAAGGTGGTAAATCGATTGATGAGGTAGTGAGTCGTCATCAACTGTGATCGTTAGGACATATGTTGCGTATGCCTAACCATCGCCTACATCAACGAGCCGTGTTATCTGGTATAGTAATAGGCTGGAGAAAAGCTAAGAACAACCGAACCAAAACGTAGTATCACCCGTCCATGAAGTCATTTACTGTTGGTCTTAGTCATTTTGGTAGAGGTAGACTGCCTGTTTGAGGTCCTGACGGTTATCTTAACCAGCAGCTATAGGTGTCGGATCAAATGTTTATTTGTGCTAATTCAGTGTATCGAATTAAATTGGAACACATATGTCCTGGATTCTAGTTTGATTATGAATGACTGATTGATATATCGAAAAAGATGGTCACTACCTATGTACAACAACTATATAACTATGTCATTACTGTAGAGGTTTACAGTTTTATTATGTTGAGAGCAATAAAAATATTATTGTCCAGGTTATTGTCCTTTTAGGCCAAATGCACCGCTATTGAAAAACCAGAATTGATTGTTCCTGAATGTACTTTCTTATTCATCTCGTAAAGCTATACAATAACTTCAAATAAACCATTATACTGTCATGTAAACAGCAAAGAATTAATATGATTGCTTTTTTCAAGACATTAAAAGTTCGCTTCAAATAACGAGTAGTCCTCTCTTGTTCTGTATGTCTTGTTAGATTGTCATTGTATTGGTTTTGTTAGGCATATCTAGTAGTCGCATTGAATGAGTATTCAGTTTGTATTATATAGATTGTAAAATGTGACACAATTGGTTTTTCATGTTTATTACCTAGATTTCAAAATACAACAATCATTAGTGTAGTTGAGTTGTCTTAGCTGAATGGTTTAATCCCAGAGCTTTCGTTGTCATTCTAAACAAATTCGTTAGTGTTTATTTCATGTAGAAATAAACGTTTTAGTTATTTTATGAGTCTTAAGTCAGCTTGTTCTGTTGCCTCTGATTGTGACTCGTTATCCCCGTAGATTCAATCGTCTTCAGCTGCCTTAGTATTCAAGTTGACTAGTTTATTCCGTTGATGTTTGGTCAGGTTATTGACTAACCTTTTTAGAATGGGTTGGTATATTGGGTCAAGTTCGATATGTCTACTGGTTGCTGATCGATTTGAATGACATTCTTCCAAAGATTCTCTAGGACTCTTAGAATTCTTCTGGTTCTTAATTTGGACTTTTCCCCCAGCCAAATTTATGCTCGTACTTGTCTAAATAGATAGCATATCGTATCATTTCACAGATAGTTATTGTTCATGTTTGTGTAGATGAAGAGGGTGTCCATTTTGTCCAATGAAGTGTTTGTTGCTTTTAGTACAATTTGTTTTGGAAATGATATCGGATTAGTCTTCTTTCGCTGTTATGTCTTTTGGTCCGCATAAAATGAAATAGAGTGATTGCGTCAGTTCATGTACAACATTGATTCCTGCACTCGGGGCTCGAACCCAGAACCTTCGGTCTCGCGCGCGAACACTTGATTTTTAGACAATCGAGTCGGTTGTGTCTGAGATGTTTTTCGCACATGACAGTATTATCTGTTTTCTAATTCCAAAGTTAGTCTGCAACTTGGTTATCTGCATCTGTCAACATGACTGTTTTATATCATAGGTTTGAAAATCTAGAAGATATTTAGGTTTTTGTATGAAATTCATACCCTTAAGATAAATATATTAGGAAACGAGTGCCCGAACAGTATCACACTCCATCCACAAATATAGTAATCTATTATGTGGCGCATAAAATTTTGGCATCCAGTTGTACCAGATTACATGTGTAATAAGTAAACAAAACTCCTAGTACTTAGTATCATAAATCTTTTGGATTCGTTAGAGAATTACATATATAGTATGCGCATTTGCAAGTTCAGCTGCCCTTGTGGAGATATCTATATCGGGCGTACTATTAGGCAACTTAACCAACGAATGAGTGAGTATCTACTAGCATGGTTTGAGAAGGGCCAGATAAAAGCAGTACGCAGTTCTATCTTGGCATATCTAATTGATAGTGGTCAGTCACTAGTGAGCATATGATTATAATCAGAAGGGGTATTGTTGAGATTTCAGTATTTTCATAGTTAAAATCATTAGTCAATTGAAGCTAGACCATCATGGAAAACCTGAAAGCACTGTTTGACGGCCGTGTCGTTCTATTATGGGACTCCTCAGCAATGCGCATCCACGATCCCGCCTCGCGAGCGAGATTCGAACCCAGGATCTATCAGTCTCGCGTCAGAGCACTCAACCAATAGACCAATGAGCTGGCATCCAACGGTGTTAATGTCTAACTTCAACCAGCCTTGATTAGTTTAGCATTTTCGTAAAAATATTCATGTATATTAGAGTAAAGCCTGATGACAATTTAATTGAAAACAATATTGTTCGCTTGCATGTATTGTTCTAATATATATATATATATATATATATATATATATATATATATAAAGTATTGTTATTTTATCTACAGTTTGAATAAATTTTCGATTATCAATGATACAATAATAGAATTTTTTTATATTTTGCTTTGTGTCAAAAAAACAACAACAACCGATTAGGTATTATCTATGGCTCCTGGTTTATCCAATTTAAAAATTATTCCATTTCGTGTTGCTGCCTATGATAAAACAATTAATAAAATGTCATTTTTTGATTCAACACGTTCATCAGATTTTCTATTTATTTCTGGTACTAAAATGCGTACATTAGCTCGTCAAGGTATGGAACCACCGAATGGATTTATGGCTGAGAAAGCATGGAAAGTTTTGTCAAATTATTATTGTCAATTAAATAAATCAGTTTAATTGAATAAACAAAAGGTAAATGAAACTTGGGAGTTTTGGAAAAAAAAGAAAAAAATTGTTTACCTGTAGAAGTACTTATTGTTCCACCATTTCCAATGTTTACTACTCATTTTCTATTTATCTACATATCCATTATGAAATCTACATCTATTCTTTAGGTGGAATTGTGCTCTATGTTTTACCTTTCAAAACAAAAACAAAACCGTCTTTTATAAGAACATTTGTCCAAATTTGATCATATAGTTTCACAGTATTATAGGCGCCAAGTTGATCTGAGATATTAAGGAGGAAGGAAGTATTTTATTTAGACTTATTATTTGTTTTTGGTAAATGTATTTTGTGATCTCCTATTTTCTTTTTTTCTCCTCCCTTTCATAAGAAGCAAATACTGCTCTTGGTTTTCTTTCTCTTTTCTGTTATCTCTTTTTTATATGTAATTCAATCGATTCTCAGTTGTTAGCTAATTTTAATTGTAGTAAATCATCATAATTATCATCCCAGCACTACATTAATCTATGGCTGTTGTTTCTCAAATTTTATTTTCTCACTTTTCTTCAATTCGTCTACAGTTTGAGATATTGCTGTTTGTTTGCTTTCTTCATACTTTTAATATTTCTGTCTATTTTGAAATCTAATATTCCTTTAATACTTTCATACACAAATATTATATACATACCTTCTTACTCTATCATGTTAGATCACCTTTTCATCGTTACTACAATCTATTTCAATTGCTGTTTTGATTTTGAATTTGATAATAACTAATTCATATCTCAAGTGGGGGTTGTGGAGATTATAGTAATTTTACATAGTTAAGATCATGAATCAATTGAAACTAGATCAGGTTTTCCCCGGTGATCTAGCTATATGATCTTAACTATATAATTCATATCTATCCGAGGATCTATGTTGAGAATGTTTTTTTATCTATTGAATAATCAATTCATTTCATATCAGTAATGTGCCTAGAAATAATAAACAAAACAAAAAAAGTGTTATTGTGATAATAGAAGTATCTTTTTACTGTTTTCTATGTAACTTTTTGATCATATATGTGGATCACGATCAGTTCACTTTTTTTTTTAAAACTTGGACTATTATGTGATTATCTTTCTACTACTGGTTATAGTTTATTTTCTTAAAGATTGATTTGTTGAATAATTATTTTTATGTGCCTATAGGAATATATCTGTCATTTTTTGAAAATGCCTTCAGTTTTATTTTATTTGTATGGCTTTATAAAATAAAGATGATTTTTGTGTGATCTTGTCTTGTGTTCCAATACTACTGACATATTTTCTCCCCCCCTCCTTTATTTTGATATAGATCTGTAACGTAAATGCGATATCCGTCTATTTATCTATCATGTAAGACTAAGTATACCGTTCAACATTTTGCTCTGTATTGTTGTAAGATTGTGAATCACAGATAATTATAATAGGAGACATTTGTATATTGAAAGTATTTAGAATTACATGTTTCTTTAGAGAACTACTGGAATGTAGTGGAATAATGACAAAGCGTTGTAGGTAATCATTGGTTAATTTTATTAGTATGAATCTTAATCTAAATTAACTGAGGTGACGTAAGTCCGTTACCTCTCGTGAGGGAGCGTAGGCCACCCACTAGCGTTCTCCATCCAACCCTGTCCTAGGCAATCCTTTCAAGTTCTTTCCAGTTAACATTCATCCTTTTCACATCTACTTCTATTTTCCGGCGTAATGTGTTCTTTGGCCTTCCTCTTTTCCGCTTCCCTTCCGGATTCCAAGTTAGGGATTGCCTCGTGATACGCTTTGGTGATTTCCTTAATGTATGTCCGATCCACTTCCAACGTCTTTTCCTAATTTCCTCTTCAGTTGGAAGCTGGTTTGTCCTCTCCCACAAAAGGCTGTTGCTGATGGTATCCAACCAGTGAATGTTGAGTATTTTTCGAAGAAAATCATTTATAAATACTTTACGATGGTTGTCGAAGTTCTGCACGTTTCAGCTGCGTACAGTAGGACTGTCTTTAAGGTCGTATTGATGATTCTCACTTTGAAATTAGTTGACAGTTGTATTGAGTTCCATATGATCTTCAATTGTAGGAATGTGGTCCTTGTTTTGCCAATACTCACCTTTACATCTGCATCCGATCTTCCTTGTTCATCGATGATGCTTCCCAGGTACGCGAATGTTTCCACATCTTCCAGAGTCTCGCCATCAAGTGTAACTGGGTTGCTGTTGTCCATAATGTATTTGAGGATCTTGCTTTTTCCTTTGTGTGTGTTGAGATCTATTGATGTAGAGGCTGCTGCTACGTCTTTGACGTCCCACGATATGATGAATCGGCCGTCCAGTGCTTCCAGATTTTCCATGGTTGTCTAGCTTCAATTGACTCATGAATTCAACTATAAAATTACTAAAATCTCGACAAAAAACCCCTTCTCAAAATATAATTCAGTTTAATCCACACAAATCTGTCTGTTAATCTAACTATACATAAATCATATAAAACGTGTATTCCTAAATCATTTTGATTTATTTTGGATGTCAAATGCATCATTGATACCAGTTTTCACGCTTTTTCCTTTATGTTCTAGTTGCCATGCACATTCAGTTTGTGGTTATTAGAAGCGGCAAAGAAATCGAATCATGCCTTCATTTTTCAATACTTATTCAATCCAAAGACATAATATTATCTGCATTGATTAGTTCTTTATTTAATTTATTCGCATTCAACAGTTGATCTATATATGCATGATACTAATCTAAGACACCTGATTCTAAGCTCTAATAAGGTCATTGTATTTTCGTTTTCCTTTCATTTATATGATCTACTCATTCTGAAACTGATTATTGTAACTGTTATCAGTTCACGTACATTTTAAACTAAGTTGGTAATGATTACAATGATCATAGTTTCAAAATAAGTAAATCACGTGAATGCCAAAAAAAGCCATCACCTTATCAGAACATCGAATTAGTTGTGTCAGGAAAACGATGTAATTTAGAATAGTATTGTATATATATATGAATGCCATTAAGTGAAATATGCGCTGTTAGCCACAGTTCTTTTAGTGGAATGAATCTTATGAAAAGTCAGCAATGTCAAGGTAGTCCACACACGATCCTCATGTGCTAGCAAAGACTGAACAAAATTCAATCCTAAACGTCAACAACAGGATAATTCAATGCTCTAGTCATAGGTATATAAATGTGTACAGGAAAATTTACAGCTATAAGTGCATGTTTGGAAAGATGATTGACCTGAAGAAGTGGTAAGTCTACAGTGTAGAATCATGACTAGGGTCTAAATCAAACGGAGTCTATGGTCATCATGAGCATGAACACTGCATATTTAATGTCACTTATTCTCAAAATACTGAAATTAGACGCAAAATAAATACAAGAGAGCACTGAAGAATAGTTTTATCTTATTTTAAAAAAATCAAAATGAGAACCGTGACATACATTATAATTTCGACCAAGCTGAGATATTCGTGAATGAATGAAGGAAACAATAAATTATCTATATCCACATTGAACGATAATTTCTCTTAGAAAAAAAGTGACTGAATTTGATAATATGGACGATTGAATCTCAGCTAAGTGCTTGAATATTTATGGTTTATGTGTTTGACCGTGTTTCTGACGATGTTAGTGTACTGTTGACGAGTGCAGGTATTCGGAAATTCGATGCCCACCACAATTTTCTCACACTATCGTCATTTGTAGTGAAAAATAAAGATTTCGTATTTTCTCTCGATAGTTGGAAGGGAAATAAAATTGTCGAAGATGACATAACTATTGGGTCATTTCGATTTCCATAAAATTTGTGTCGTAGCATTTTCAAAGTAATACACAACAGTTGTTCTCTACATCACTCGATATCAGATTACAGTGAAATGTGTCGTGAAATGACCACAAATTTGTTTCACAAAAATATCAATTATTTAGGTCAACATATGAAACTGATATGATAAGATAGATAATCAGCATTCCTAAACGTATTATGCACAATGAAACATTGTGAATTCCTTTCTGTTATTCGTTGATTACCACTCTGTGTTCACTGTGTGTGAATAAACCACTATCTCTATTATCTGATTTGTCTATGTCAAAAGTGATCTAGACTGCCGGTCAAATTATCTCGAACCTGGTATCGTAGTGTGATATGCCAAAATGTATTATCTAGTCTATTGTTAGTATATGAAGCGTAGAGTATTGTCGTATTGATTATCGAGTGTCGTTTATTTAATAATGCATTGAATGGAAAAGAGATAGAAGTATATACAAGACATAGATAATGTATGAGTTATGCTCCTTATACTAAGAAGGACACATAATGACTGACAAGAAATGTTTTCATTACTAACGACAGATCAGGGAAGCTGTTACACGACACAACTGTAAGATAAACTCTCTGTGTACTAAGAATTCAAACATACAGACTTCCGACATGACAGAAATATCAACTACCAATATTTGAAAATACCATGGTAAAACTGAGTTACGTCTATTTGTGGGGTCTACTTTCACTATAATGAGTGGGGCTGTGACATACCTCAGATTATTCCACTTAATGGTAGCTAGCACATACTCCATGTTTATACAATTGATTGATCACCGGGTAGTGTTCAATGTCAGGTGCGTCAGTTCCTTGATCACTATTTCGTTCAAACAAGTGAAAATTGGAAAGTGATTTTATTTCAATTACGACTATGTTATAAATTCATCCATTTGTGGCAATACAGAAGGTAGCTTACACTAGAATAACAGTATGCAGAAGTAAAGCTTATGCATGTGAAAGAAAGCTATGTCACTGACTAATGTGTGGACAGAAATGGATGTCGGTAGTAAGCAGATACACAACTGGCAACGAATTAATTACTGGCAATAAGTCATTGGTCAACGGACACTCCGGTCACACAGTAACAGAACGCGGAAATCAAAAGACATCAAGAATTAGTCTGATATTCAAAGAATTGTTATTTTGAAAAGATAACTTCAATTGAAAACAAACATACGAATTGGGCGATTTTCACCGGTGTACAGGAGTGATACGATAAATGAAATGCAAAAAAGACAATTGCAATAATGATTGATTTCGGTACACAACAATTCTTCATGTTGTTCTGTACAGTGGGCGTCCAGGGTAATTGCCTCTGAAATCAGGTAAGAGAAATGAGACTTGAGTAAGTGAATTGAGACGATGAGACTAAGTTGATCAGTGATTTTCTCATATTGATTTATTATGATTATCATTAAAGTTGAAACATTCACACATATTCACACTGGTTACAATCAATATCATCAACAATTGTTGGTGATATTCATGAAACTACTTGTAGATATCAGTAGGCAGATTATACGTAGAAATTTGAAAGGAGATATTCATCATCATGTCAAACACTGTGAAATATGAGTAATGGAAAATCCATTCTCATATTCATATGAATTCAATTGATTGTAAAATATGGTGAAATTCATAGTCACAAGAGTTGAGTTCGTTCAACAATGAGTACTTTGTTGATGACCACTGATTCATCGTCAATTACGTTACCATTCAGTTACATGGCAAACGTAACTACAACAGATGGAATATGATTTGAGAGACTGACAAATTTCAGTCCCAAACATCAATGGGAAGATTCAAACAAACAATACCAACTGAATGAATGATTTACGTTGGTTTACAAAAATAGGCAGTTGTTGTCACGGAATTAAGGATGCTAGGCAACAATTCCCAAGATAACAAATGTTTGTTTAGGTAGCAACGAGAATTTGTGCACACAAATAGATGTAGAGTGTATGAGCAATATTGGTAAACAACATCCAAATCGAACTCCACTACAAACAACATCCGATCAGAATGTAATCATACAGGGAATGACAGGTCACAAATCAGTCAAGCAAATAGAAATGATCTTGATTATGACTTACCCAGGACCATAGTTACACACAATACTTAGTCCGTATGGGAAATTCGGACAGTCCGTAACACCACATCCAACATCCGTAGTGTCTTCCCAAACAAGCTGCAATGAACAAGAGGACAGTCAGCTAGTGAGTAGTGTGTTGGAAAAGAACACAATCACATAACTCGTTCATATAAATCAACAGTCAAAGATCACAACAATGAGAAATAATTGGTTTGTTGGACAGAGTGTAAATCGTCTTTCTAACACAGACAAGAAGCGTGCTAACGAAAACGGGAACATTTCAAATTTGTGTGAATGTGACAACGGATAGTTGGATACTACACGTATCTATGTCATACTGCTTCATGAAACGACCACAATATCACTACTAACCAGTGTCTATACGACTTTGTCTGAAGTAGTTACTTCAACAAGAATGCTTTGTTGTTGTGTTAATGCTTACCTGAGTATAATGACCACACTGACCCATACGACAGGTTCTCGTGTAGAAGTCATAATTCTTGTATTCGTCCAACCATAATTGAAATCCGCTTGATAGAAATGAACAAACAATAGCAAACAATCGAAACATGAATCGAAACATTAGGAAAATGAGCAGTCAATTACAAGAATATTATCACATATTTAAATGTGAAGAAGAAGAAGAATAAGGATCTCACTACACAGGTGTGCACGTCAATGAATATCATGTGAATATCACAAACTGATTAACTGTGATGATGATGATACCCATCGACTGTGGATATTTGATTTAGTAAATCATGGTATATGAGATATTTGACAGTTCACCGTTTCCCTGTTCCACACAGATGTGAGTACATTTTTGACAAGCATGTGAATTTCTGGATACGAAATCCAGATCATCTCCACACACAAACTACATCATTGATCTATGTCGATTAGATCAATATAACACTTCTGTGAATGCAGACCACATGCTTGCAAGTTTATGAGTTGAACACATTCATATAGTTAACACAATGTATATGACACTTACGTTTTGATGTCTGTCGCACCGGCCCAATTCTGTCCAACATATTGGAATTCCGGTATTTGACGATCAGCATTTGTATCATGTCCAACACGACATTGATCAGACAGAATTTGTGCTTTCCTTTCCAATTCCACATTCCATTTCTGTAAACATTTGGTTAGTTAATGAGAAAATCAATCGGTTATTCAGTCAATTGATGATGTTATCATTGCTTTATTTACCTAAAATCGATGAGACGAATGAAGTAGTATGAAATGTGACTCGTTGTCATCAGTGCCGTCACCTTGACGTGACATAATGAGGAGATTTTTATTTTGTCCACTAGTCAGTCAGAAACTGTAACAAATTGTTTGTGTGCTATGAGTTCATGTGAACCATGTGAGCGAAGTTTCTTTGCCTATCACGCACCATTCTCTCCAACCCACATATCACTAACCACACTCACTCAAACACAAACAAATACACAGCTAAGAACACTGTCTACAACCACACAATGATTTCGATCAGTGACTTATCTACTGAACAACACATTACACCAACGACATCATTTCAGTTGTCAAGAGAATAATACCTGTAGTCAACCACAATCAACCACCTTCTCTCTCCCTCCCTCTCTCATCTTTGATCTCTGTTCACAGTGAGACTAGTCGAAGCGTACACTGAAATCAAATTGTCTCAATCGAAACATAATTACTCAGAACACTCAAGTTAAACAATCATTCTACTCACCAGTGGTTTTATGGAGACTGCTATCGGTTGTCCAAATAGCTGACCATTTCGAACAGCTTGTCTTGCTTCGTTGTGAAGAGTTAACAATTCATTTCTCATCACATCATCCAATTTCGCATGAACACAGCAACACACAAGTAAACACAGCAACAACACGACTGATGAAAAATCGGAATTGGAAGACATTTCGATGTGACCAGAATTTCACAGCTTATCTGATTTACGAACAATCACTTGTTTACTCTAACATATATATACACACAGTGAGATCTGGTTAATCAAAATAAGTCATGGTGACTAGACTAAACTAAACACTCCTAAGTGTCAATTTGTCTTATGAATGTGGGATTATATTTGTGCAGAATATTAATCATCGTGTAATCAGGTATGAATCAGTAGGCTAAAGGGAGGTGTCTGCATAAGACGATGGTATTGAGAAAATCTTGATTGAAGTTTACTCATAGGGTTTGTAGAATAATGTGGGAATGATTATCAGTTTGTGGGATTATGATTCACGAGTGACTCATGCTTCGTGACAAAACACAACATTGACTGATAATCCCATGAAATTTTATTCAGATTTTGCTGTCTTGTAATTAAGATTGTGTAATGTGTGATATTGGCAGTTATGTGGAGTGACGTGTTTTGTCGTTTTTAGTCGATATCAAGTGATAGCATGTGTGGTTTGAGTTGATGACAGCTGACTGACTCGTCTAGTTGGATGCACGAATCGTGATACGATTTGGACACCTCACAAACCACATTTCTCCCATTGATGTTGAACGGATGTGGCTTATTGAAGTCGATTGATGTTTTCGTGGATGAATGCAGAGTGAAATCGACCAACACGATGGCATGTGGAACATGAGATTTTCCCCATGTATATGATATTTTAAGGAATGAATTAGATTCAACTCCCATTTACTAATGTTCGTTTCACAGGATACAAGTTCTCGATGAGATGTGGCATCGAAATTCGATGTTGATTTTCACTGAATATGTGACAACCGTAGTATGTGTTACAGATATTGCTTTCCCACATTTTGAGCGTCAAGCAATTGCAAAGTGAAGATATGAATCAATGATGCTGAACTGATTTTCTGTCTCATTTCAGCACATTGTGTAATCGATAATTCAACCCTTAGTATCCTAGTAATCATATGCGGAACCGGATTTATGAATGAATGTATTCTATTAATTGAATCAATTATTTTGAAATTGGCCTTCTGGAATCAATGTTCACAGTGTAGTTATGATTGCTTGTCAAATGGACTACTGAATTGACTGAAAACCACTCGATTGTTAAGCTTCTGAACTTGTTCAAATTTTGTCGCTAGGCTTAATTCTGATGGCACACTCTGTTTTTGTATCGAAGATAGAATTTCGAGGTAATTTTCCATGGAAACCTCATCAAAATGGAGTATGAGCAGGAAAAAAAAGAAAACAGTCTTCTGTTGAATTATTATTTTCCCGTAAAATTTGAAATGTTGGAATTCCTATTGTGTTATGAATTATTATTTACTCAATATAAACAAAGAGAAAAGCAAGACTCTCCGATACAATACAATATGCACCAATCAAATTACACTTGATGGAGAAGCTTTGGAAGATGTGGAAACCTTTACATATCTGGGCGGCATCATTGATGAACACGGTGGATCAGATGCAGATGTGAGGGCGTGGATCGGCAAAGCAAGAGCGGCATATTTACAACTGAAAAACATCTGGAGCTCAAAACAATTGTCAACCAACACCAAGGTTAGAATTTTCAATACAAATGTCAAGACAGTTCTTCTGTATGGGGCGGAGACGTGGAGAACTACGAAAGCCATTATCCAAAAGATACAAGTGTTTATTAACAGCTGTCTACGAAAAATACTTTGGATCAGATGGCCAGACACTATCAGCAACAAGTTACTGTGGGAGACAACAAATCAGATTCCAGCGGAGGAAGAAATCAGGAGGAAGCGCTGGAAGTGGATTGGGCACACTTTGAGGAAATCACCCAATTGTGTCACAAGACAAGCCCTCACATGGAATCCTGAAGGTCAACGGAGAAGAGGAAGACCAAAGAACACATTACGCCGAGAAATGGAGACAGACATGAGAAGAATGAACAAGAACTGGATAGAACTAGAAAAGAAGGCCCAGGACAGAGTGGGTTGGAGAAAGCTGGTCGGCGGTTATGCTCCATTGGGAGTAACAGGCGAAAGTAAGTAAGTAAGTGAGTTAAGATATCATACAATCAAATTTGTATTACAGTTTTCCTATGGATGTGGAATGTAACTTGTTTGCTATCATATTCAGGTTGATGCGAACTGGTAATCAATAACAAGTAAACAAGTGAATGCATACTGAGAAGCTGTAATATGTCGATTACAATGAACGGAGTATTTTTAACCAGTATTTGATAATGTTTATATCACTTATATGTACAACAAATAAACACAAGTAGAAACGTTTACATACACGATACTGAACGAATAGAAATTAGGAAAACGGAAAATATTTCCGTGCCTATTCTTGAAATCAATCAATTTTTAGTAGACTTCGAGGTACTGCATAAACTATTGGTGTACTCACACTGTGACCACGAAAAATCGGCGCCGTCCACCAATGCATATTATACTGGTATACACTTAATAATACGTCACATTCAGTCAGTTCAGTCAGTCAGACAGACAGACAGTACATAACAGCGCACAATCCATCTCAGACACGTGTTGGCTTATATATGCACGAACTATCAGATTCCACAGAACACCAACATCAAATCAAACTCTAAACACGATCATGTTATACGCAGAATTGGTGCATATGAACAAAGTATGACTCTTTAGAAATAACTATTAAATGTCATAACGTACAACAACAGTTGGTAGTTTCTCTGGAATGAATATAAAGGTCCAACACTTGGGTCATCTACTAATTAAACAATGAAAGTGTGAACAATGAGAATGCGAATAAACTTAATCAAAGGTTCTCACTACTTCAATCCTCATTCCGCTCTAAAATACTTTCACACTACACGCTAATATCTACTTTGCCACAGAGACGCACGACGACGTTTTCTGGAAATCACGACTTATCAACATGTATAGACTTACTTTCTTTTTATTACCGTTTAGCGTTTTGTGCTTACTTGATGGTGTCGGTCATCTCAAATTTTACGATTTCATTTTATCGCATATTACAAGCAATACTAAATTCACGTGCTGTAATTTCAAATAATGTATTTTTCCTTAAACATAACCACCTACATGGGCATTAATTCGAAACTGTAGTTTCAGAATTTGGAGAGAATTTATTGAAAAGAATAATCTTCGTACAAATATCATAATGACCTGCATATGAGTCATGAAGCAAGATATTATTGAATGGTGTAAGCTAATCAATCTATATTTCAAAAAAGGTATTTCTAATGACGTTTGAGAACGGATAATCTTCAGGAGAATTGTATTTATTTGATATATATTTCTCTAAACACGAATAGTTCAATGAGCATCTGGTATTTTTGCACATTAAACATCTTCACTGTGGATTTGATAACCATTATACATATTCATTTGCACACAGTTGTGCAATGAAATAGACAACAGATAGTGGAACATACATATATTACTGCATCAAAACACATCTCAATGGAGACAATGGAGATCAGAAATTCATCTGTTTGTCAGCAAGTAAATCAATCAGTTGATCATTCCCGTATCACATAATTCTGTTCGTTTCAATTATTAGAATACATTCATTCATAAATCCGGTTCCGCATATGATTACTAGGATACTAAGGGTTGAATTATCGATTACACAATGTGCTGAAATGAGACAGAAAATCAGTTCAGCATCATTGATTCATATCTTCACTTTGCAATTGCTTGACGCTCAAAATGTGGGAAAGCAATATCTGTAACACATACTACGGTTGTCACATATTCAGTGAAAATCAACATCGAATTTCGATGCCACATCTCATCGAGAACTTGTATCCTGTGAAACGAACATTAGTAAATGGGAGTTGAATCTAATTCATTCCTTAAAATATCATATACATGGGGAAAATCTCATGTTCCACATGCCATCGTGTTGGTCGATTTCACTCTGCATTCATCCACGAAAACATCAATCGACTTCAACAAGCCACATCCGTTCAACATCACTGAGAGAAATGTGGTTTGTGAGGTGTCCAAATCGTATCACGTTTCGTGCATCCAACTAGACGAGTCAGTCAGCTGTCATCAACTCAAACCACACATGCTATCACTTGATATCGACTAAAAACGACAAAACACGTCACTCCACATAACTGCCAATATCACACATTACACAATCTTAATTACAAGACAGCAAAATCTGAATAAAATTTCATGGGATTATCAGTCAATGTTGTGTTTTGTCACGAAGCATGAGTCACTCGTGAATCATAATCCCACAAACTGATAATCATTCCCACATTATTCTACAAACCCTATGAGTAAACTTCAATCAAGATTTTCTCAATACCATCGTCTTGTGTAGACACCTCCCTTTAGCCTACTGATTCATACCTGATTACACGATGATTAATATTCTGCACAAATATAATCCCACATTCATAAGACAAATTGACACTTAGGAGTGTTTAGTTTAGTCTAGTCACCATGACTTATTTTGATTAACCAGATCTCACTGTGTGTATATATATGTTAGAGTAAACAAGTGATTGTTCGTAAATCAGATAAGCTGTGAAATTCTGGTCACATCGAAATGTCTTCCAATTCCAATTTTTCATCAGTCGTGTTGTTGCTGTGTTTACTTGCATGTTGCTGTGTTCATGTGAAATTGGATGATGCGATGAGAAATGAATTGTTAACTCTTCACAACGAAGCAAGACAAGCTGTTCGAAATGGTCAGCTATTTGGACAACCGATAGCAGTCTCCATAAAACCACTGGTGAGTAGAATGATTGTTTAACTTGAGTGTTCTGAGTAATTATGTTTCGATTGAGACAATTTGATTTCAGTGTACGCTTCGACTAGTCTCACTGTGAACAGAGATCAAAGATGAGAGAGGGAGGGAGAGAGAAGGTGGTTGATTGTGGTTGACTACAGGTATTATTCTCTTGACAACTGAAATGATGTCGTTGGTGTAATGTGTTGTTCAGTAGATAAGTCACTGATCGAAATCATTGTGTGGTTGTAGACAGTGTTCTTAGCTGTGTATTTGTTTGTGTTTGAGTGAGTGTGGTTAGTGATATGTGGGTTGGAGAGAATGGTGCGTGATAGGCAAAGAAACTTCGCTCACA